TTATATAGATTATATTTGTTGTGTTAAAAAAATACCATACATATGTATTTATGATGATGTTATTTAAGTACAATATACAGTATTTATATATTTACTTTGTATAAACCTGGTTTATGTCCGACTATCGCAGCAAACTGCGGACACATTTTTAACTATTTATAGCCTCTATAAATAAATATTTATAATATGTGCTTGTTATTTTTCTTGCAATATATTTTAACACAAAAAATATTTTTAAATGTAGTTTATTTATAAAATTAGCCACACACGAATGGTTCGCGAGAGTATCATACAACAACCAACTTCGTCAAAATCCGAATTTGTACTACTTATTCCGTCATGTAGAAAACCGTCGTGTAGAAAACCGGTCCTGTACATGCATGCTATGTAAATATGTATGTATTTATGTATTTATTTTCTGTATACCCACTTGCTTTATCATATTTAAGTACTACTACACTACTAAGTACGAGATCGTACAACGCTTCTCTGAGGCATTAATATAACCGATATTATATATAGATTGTATTACAGACATCAGCGTCAATAGGCCTATCCAATGTGGTGATTTTCTCAGCAAGACTTGTCGAGTATGGAGGGCAAGCAGGAGGTATACTACTTTATTTACTTTAGTGTGTACTGTTCGATGCTACTTTAGTGTGAATTGTAATGTGCTACTTTAATGTATACAGTATACTGTATGGTCCGTGTGTCTTGTTTGACTAAGTAAAACAAATAAGTGACATATTTTGAGTGCTTTTTCTGGCGTTGGCATCGTTTCTTTGTGCTGTTTATTTGTTTATCTGGAAGTTGCAAGGCAATGTACACAAAACGTTGAACTAATCTATGTCTCGCAGGATCCCACGCATTACAAAATGAAGTAGATAAACAAAAAAAATTGCGACTGTATATTCAAAGGGACTGTTATGTTATTTAGAGTAGATTCATATTCAATTGCGAAGCTATTTGAACGTTAAATTAATTTTGACGAAAGCACGTGTCTTGTGTACTTTAAAAGGGGCGGGTTATGGCCTTGACGTTTTTATTATTATCAATATTTGTTAGTGATCAATTCTAATATGAGTATCTCTGGTGGTCCTAGTACCTATACACATGACACGCGAATACAAAATACTGCAATTGTTGGCGTATTCACTTTGAGTTGAGATTTTAGACTGTAGCCTTGATACATTCGCCACAAATCACTTGTCATGCTATCATAGACTACTACGTTTGCAACAGTAAATTGTTGAATATATATATATATGTATTATATATACATATGTATGTATGTATATATATATATATATATATGTATGTATATTTATATGTATATATATATGTATATATGTGTGTATGTCTGTATATATATATACAAATTGTTCAAGCACTCGCATACACTCGCTCACTCAAACATATACTCAAACATCTATTTATATTTTAATGTATATATATATGTGTGTGTGTATGTATGTATGTGTGTGTGTGTGTGTTTTGTTCATTTTATGTATACATATATATATATATATATATGTACTTGTATATATATTTGAATCGATATATAATTAGAGAGGTAGATATATACATGTATATATGTTTATTTGTGTGTGTGGTTGTTTACTATTATGGGTATCGTTTAGTCCGCATGTATATATTTTGTTTTCATTTCTAGCCATTTGTGCCAAGTTATAACTCGCTGTTGTACTACTAACCTTCATATCTGTGCCCGTGATGTATTCAGATCGGCACAAATCTGTCTGTAAGTTTGTAAATATAAAATTTTAATAAAAAAATCCTAATTCTGGTTTCTTTTGCATAGGATGGAATCACATCACAAACGGTGTCTTTCTTCAATGCGTTCAATAGCAAATCAGCCGAGGGCAACCAGGGTCAGATGGTACGACTTAATAAATGTGCACGACCTGGTGTATCTGCACCTATTTCAAATATACCTGTGTATATGAATACATGTTTTTTGTTTTTGCTTGTTTCATTACTGGCGAGTCTCTTTCGAGGGGTTCTCATTGAAAGTTGTATGTTTGGCGTGTGTACACAAGTTTACACACGTGTGGTATGAATATATAGGATCATTCACACCATACAATCATATGTTTGAAATGTACCTAGCAATGCATCTCCGTAGCATTATAAAATCAAATCTCTCTTGTTCAACTAGTTGACGATGCAATTCTCGATTATACTGGGTTAAATAGGCATAGGGAAGGACACCTGGGTGACATTCCGACCTGACCTGAAAACACTGCTGCTCAATCAAATGACAACTTTCACTGGCAGCACATCAATTAACACTCAATTAACATTCCAATCGACCAATTAATTTCACTACCATTGGAATGCATTCTTTAACCCTTTTATAGGCTCCCGGGCCACCACTCGGAATGGGATTAGCGGAAGGACAACAAACGCCACTGCTGGCGCAACCGTACCATCACCCGCATCCGAATAGGACCGGTAGCAGTAGCAGCAGCAACAATAATAACAACAATATCAATACTATCTATCAGAACCCACAAGGGCCCCATCACGTGTTCCCGCCGCATTTACAGCACCATCAGCAACCCTCCTCCGGGCTGGGCAGGCATTCGAATAGCGTGCCATCGAATCTGAACAACTCTGGCTTTAATGGTCCAATGTATGGCGGCCAACAGCTCCCACCGCATAGGTATGTTGATTACACCGATTTAACGTACTTTGATTCAATGTTTCCATCCACGTGGGCATCGTGTATATATTATATAAATCTCATGATATGCAAAGAAATGACACAGATACTTGAACACACATCCATACTCACGACGCGTACCGTTCCCTTGGCATCTGTCCAGACACGCATATTCAAACCACACAGCCTTATGCCTTGTCGAGAATTCGCATACATCATATTCGTGCTCAATTCAAATCTCACTACTTGTCTTGTATTATTAACATATTATGCGCGTTTCTGATTGATTACTTCTCATAGGCGGCCACCACAGCAGCAGTATGCGCCTGTGAGTGGCGGCAACAGCTTCACCTCGCCTGCACCTCACCCGCAAGCAGCGCAGAGCCAATCATCAGGCTACGACTTCGCACAGCCCCACGCCCAGTCACAGGGTATGGGCCTACCCTCGGGTATGTTAACCCCACAGCAACAGCAGCAACAACAACAGCAGCCGCATCGGCAGTATGGGGGGCATATGACACAGCAACAGTCACCCGTACAGGCACAGGCACCGTTGCCACAGCACCAGCAACATCAGACCGTCCATCATACGCAGAGTTTGGACAACCAACCGTCTTCAAGCAAGAGCCGCTTTGCGTTTGTAGAGCCCGTACAGCCTCAGCAGATGGTGCTACTACAGCACGGTCAGCCACTCGGTCAACATCGTCACCATCAAACTGGACAGCTGCAATCACACCCGTCTATGCGCCAGGAATCGAACAACCATGCGAATGCGAATGCGGGGTTTACAAGCGCTATGAGAGCGTCTATGGGTGTGGATGTGATGGGTGCCTTTGCCAAGGGTGACAGCGGACTGCTACCTACTTCTCGCGCAGACAGCGTGTCTGGCAGTGCCGTAGGGGGAGGAGATGTGATCAGCGAAGCAGCAACAAGCGGCAACATCAGCAGCGCGAACGAGGGCAAGCCGAGTGAGAGTAATCTCAATGCGTTCTTCTCGTCGTATGGGCGTGCTGGGAATGCGGGGATGGTGGAGAGCCTGTTGTACGAGCAAGATACGGGCTCACAGGCGGGCATGCGTAATTCAGGTGCGCAAACTCTGATGCATATGCAGCACGGGCAAGCACCTCCGCCGCCAGGTCAGGGACCGGTCCAAAACCAGTCTCAGTTAGGACATGCCTATGTGCCGTTAGGGTTGGGAGCATCCCAGGCCGGCGTGTTGTACGAGGGGATGGTTATGGGCGATACCATGCAGTCACAGCAGCGAGGACTGAACAGTCAGGGACAGGGCCAGCTGAACAGCCCGGTCTATAGTAGCGGCAGTGGGGGTGCGTTGAACGGAGACCAGGTCTCACTGAGCAATGTAAGTGGTTCAGCACAACACCCCCAGGCACATGCCGAGGCGAGTATGCCCGGGCACGGATCGTATGGGAATCTATCGCTCGCGCAAACATATTCCGAGCCGCTGTTCCCTCGTGGAAGTACCATTGCGAAGGGCAATAGCAGTGGGCCTGGCAATGGTGCAAACACTGTGAATCAGCAGTATATCATGGGATATGGCAGGGCACCCGGTGGCAATAGGTATACACGTTTTCAGTGTATGTGTGTTGGTATATTGGCACGTACATACAAATTGTGAATTTCCTGCATTCCATAGTTCTATCGTGGCAGGATTCCTGTATAGATGTGTGGTTACGGATTTATAGTTACCATCATAGTTCATGTTTTGTCTATGGTGAACCATATGTTTGTTTCTAGTTATGAAACCTTTATTTGTATTTCTAGATTGAGTTCCTATTTGGACAAAATTTATCATATAAATGCTGAATACTATGATTCATATATACACTGTAGTGCTTATGCCCCGCCCACATTCATATCGCATACATGCTAAACCCTAAAAGTGTTGTGTGAGAACAGTTGAACAATATAGGGCATTACACTTTATATATTTTATTTATTTATTTATTTAGATATATTTACATTTATACATATATATGTGTGTGTTTGTGTGTGTTTATATATATATATTGATATAAGTATATAACTATTGATATATAGATTTGTTCTTTTTCTTTTCATATTATATTATATTTATATATATATACCTGTATATCTATGTGAGTTTTGTTGATTTGCATACATTATAATTCTCTACTTTATATATATGTATATACCTGAATATCTATTGTGTTTGTTGATTTGCATACATTCTAATTCTCTACTCGCTGTTTCGCCACACAGAGGCGGTGGTAATGCCGCCTCGAGTACCGACCTGACCGGGCCCTTCTCGAACATGAACATCAATTACATGGGCTCGAGACGCGAATCAAGCTCTGCTATCAACAGCGGTAACAACAACAGCAACGGTGGTGTTATATCGGAGGGGCTCATGGGTGGTCAAGGGGCTGTATACGGCCATACACCTGCACACGCTCAGAACAACCGAGATAGAGGATTCAGCGAAGCCCACGACGGCAAACGTGAACTGGGACAAGGTGTGTAGGGGGTACGCAATAGGTTTACGAGTATTGCTGGGTGATGAGTAGGTCAGTCATTCTTTGGTTGTACGAAGATTGTCCGTTTTATTTCCCTTTAGGAGACTGAACAAATTCATAATCTCCCTCAGTATTTATGTATGCTTAAAAGACATGGGCACTGCTAGCAGTGTTGTGAGTTCAAAGTGTTGTC